CCCCTCAACCCCATGGGCTGGGTCTCCTGGCCCAGGACCCCAGGCTGCCAGCCCAGGGGGAAGGGGCTCCGGCTGCAGGGTGAGGACCGCAGGCCCACGGGAAAGCCGGCCAAGCGCCCCCACAGTGCCTTCTTGGAACTTCCCCCTCCCCGGGGGCTGAGGGAAGGGTGTGTGTCCTTCCCACCTCCAGAGAACAAAACTCCAGAATGCCAGACACTTGACATATATTCTTTCACTTACTTATCACAATAATCTAATGGGGTTTTAAAAATTATTATTATTGGTTCATAAGTGAGGAAATAGGCGTCGAGAGGTTAAAGCCACTTGCCCAAGGACACACATCTTTAGGAAGTGGCAGGGCAAAAATTAATTCCACAGGGCTCAAGGCCCTGCCTTGCCCTTACCCCTCACTACTCTCCTCTAGCCCTTCTATCCTTACCTCTTCTCTCCCATCCTATCCTCCTGCACTGTCCTCCCAGAATCCTTCAGCCCCCAAGAAGGGAGCCACCCACCTGTGGCCCTGACAAGTGGGGTGGAGTGGGGGTACAGCTTGTGCCAAGGGCGCGGCCAATGTGGCAACACCTACAGGCTAAATGTGCGGGATGGGGCTGGGCAAACATGTGCCTGGGTTGAATCTGAGCTGAAAGAATGTTCATGCTGCCCCTGCCCCAGAGGTGGAGCTCCCTGCTCAGAATAGAACTGAGCAAGTCAGAGCTGGAAGGGGCCTTGGAGATGAACTGATCCAGCCCTCTTGTTTGACAGATAAAGCTGAGCCCCAGAGAGGTGATGTGTCCTCCCCAAGATCACACAGCTAGTTGGTGGCAGAGCAGGAATAACAGCCCAAGAAGTGCCCTTGACTGAGTGCCTTGGTGTCTCACACGGAAATAGCTCTGCACACCTGATCTTGTTTAGCCCTTCAGCAACACTACAAGGTGAAGATTATCATCTGTGTTCTAGACATGAGGAAACTAAAGTGTGGAGAAGCTAAGGGTACCCCAGGTCTCCCATTTAGAACGTGATAGAGCTGGTTTCGAACCCAGACCGTCCTAAAAACTTCCCTTTCCATGCCCCCAGGATACTGGGGCTAAGGAGTAGGGATTGAGGGATGGAGAGGGTATCATGAGCTCAACAGCTCTGGAGACACAAGGGAAAGAGGACACAGGCTGGGAAAAGTCCTTTCCTGCAACTTTAGATTGACCCTCCATGGCTTCCCTGAGTGGACCAAATACTGAGGTGCTTCCAGAATTCCCTTTTGTGTGTCAGTGGTGGGGAGGGTAGAATTGGCTCGTGACCCTTCTGGATTGTGAGGGTATGGAGTTGCAGGAGAGGCTTAAATTTACAGGCTCCCTCTGATTTCCTGCCTAGGGGAGGCTGCCATTCAGGTCTAGGCCCTACAGCTTGGCTGTTTCATCCCCAACCCACACCTGGCTTCTCAAGGGGCACCATCAATGCCATCTCACCCCAGCTCCATAGACAGACTCCAAAAGCTTCATCCTGATACCTCTCCCCCTTCTCAGCTTCCTTCTATGGCCCTGCCCCACCTCTTCTTAGCTTCTCACTGACTCCATTTCACTCATTCATCCATAAATACATTCCACAAAAATTTGTCATGTATGGACTATGTGTCAAGGCACTAGGCCAAGCACTGGGGATACAGCAGGAAGTAGACTGCCCTTTTGGCGCTTGCAGTCTAGCAAGAATGCAGAATTAATCAAACAAATATGTAAATAAATATATAATTGCAAATTGGTGTTAGGAAGCAAAGTACCAGGAGTTTTGAGAAGTTATAACAATAAGAGGTCTGTATGTATGAGATGATTATTGAGACAATAGAGACTAAAGATTATTATTACTTATAATTACCCAAACTGGAGGGCTGAGGCAATCATGTCCACATACCACCTGCAATTCTAGGGTAGGTCACAACCCAGTCTGTCCCGGAGGGCCCAGCTGACATGGGTGAGAGTGAGATGATTAGATGGTGGCCCCAATGCTGACAGTCCCCTCTGCTACCCAGCTTGGGATGAAGCGGTGCCCAGTTCAGAGGTGGTGAGGAGGCTGGGGGCACCTCTGGGCTGGGTCTGGAGGAACAGACCATGTGCCCAGCTGATGGGTGTGTGAGCCTCTGACATCACTCCAGGGAGAAACCCCTCCCTGCTCTGCCTTCTATTGGCACTAACACTTACTCTGGCACTCTCCTCCGCTCTTTAGGGAAGAGCTGGACAAGACTGTGAAAAGTGTAATAGAGCTAGACAGGCCCTGCCTTGAGGTCAGGCAACCTTGGGCTCAAACCCCACTTCAGCCAGTTCCTGACTGTGTGACCTCCAGCAAGCTCTTGGTGTCCTTGAGCTTCCTGTCCCTTCTCTGTTCTTGGAGAGAGAGAAAAAGAGCCTGGCCATGTATGGCTGTGAGGAATTGATGAGCTCAGGCATGGAAAGCACCAAATATAGTGTCTGGCCCCATGGTTCACCATTAATAAATGACAGCTGTCGCTCTGATTATATAACAGGATAATTAATATATAATGATAATAAAAGAAACCTCACTCATGCCCTCTGGGCTCCCACCTGGTTCCCTGAGCCCCTCTGGGAGGTCACTCCCACAGTCAACCTCCTGTGAGAAAGAGTTTTACAGCTCCATGAAAATCATCTTAGCAACTGCAGAACCTCTTGAGGTCAAGGCAGGACACACAGTAGGTGCTCAGCATTGACTGGGTAGTTGGGAAGAGGTGGGAAGTTAGAGTCTGGGAGACGCACAAGTATGCTGCTAGGGGCAGTGCCTCCTGGCTCCAAACCCCAGGCTCTCTGAGCCCCAGGCGGGCTGCCCCACCATACTGGGTAGCGCCTGGCCCAGCTCTACACTCTTCATAGGCAAAGCACCAGGCTGGAGAGGTCTGGCCTAGATGAGCCTTCCCAGCCAGCCAGGCAGAGTCCCAGCCATGGCCACCGCGCCTGCTCCAGCCGCTGCAGGGCACAGTGCACACCTGGAACCCATTAGGCCTGGCCAGGAGCTTGTTCCCTCTCAGCATAAATAGAGTGAAGGGTTTGTTTTGACTACTTTAAATTGTGCAGATTTTAGGGCCTGAGAATTGGAAGCCCCCAATGCCCTGATGGACAAACAGACTAAGAAGACAGAGGGCTGAGGCAGCAGGAAGAGTCCAGTCTGGTTCCGGTTACTTGTCACTGACTGCTTAGCTGGGTGAGGATCATCACAGCCACACTCCATGGAGTGCATGCTGTGGGCATGATGCTTACATATGTGTCCTACCTCCCAGCAACCATGCAGGGTAAAAATTAAGAGTCCCTGACTTCTGGATGAGGAGAGGCAGTGACTTGCCCAAGGTCACTGGGCTAGTGTGTGGCAGATCTGGATTCCATACCAAGCTTGTCTGATGCCAAGGCCAGTGGAGGTCTTTCCAGGGACCATCAAGACTGCAGTGGGGTGGGGCAGAGCCCTGTGTCACTGTCAGGAACTCGAGACACACACAAGTACAGTTGCTGAGACCCTCACCCCCGCCAAAGGACAGGAGTCTGAACCTCTGCACTGGGCTCCTTCTCCCAAGTTGCCAGCTCCTGACCTCAACTGCCCCAGGCAGTTGTGCCCCCCAGGTCACGGTCAGGTTGACCTTGGCAGGAGGGAGAGTTTGTGGGCCCTGGGCTGCTGCCAAGGCCTCACGAAATGAAAGGGAACCTTGTCCAGTCCCACACAGGGCCCATTCTCTGAGCATCTCGAGCCAGCCCAGCCCCCATGGAGGGACCTGATCCCTCTTCGCCAGCTATTCATAGACTCACGGAAGAGCATCCGTTGCCAGGGGCAGGGCCCTTAGACGTCCCCAGGCCCAGCCCATAAAGTTTACAGTTAAGGAAACTGAGGCCCAGGGAAAGGAAGGACTCCCTCAAGGCCACACAGTGAGTTAATGGCAGAGCAAAAACCCAGACCATTGCTTCTGAGGCCTAAACCTTTTCCCCAGGATCTGGGCCTCACCCTAAACAGGCAGCCTGCCTTACCTCCCTCCCTCCTTCCTGGAGACATCCACAGCTGTGCTCTCTGACCCCCTCTTCACTTCCACAGAGGGACCAGCATTATGGTTGGACCCTCCATGTCTATCTTTTCAGTCATCTCAGCTACCCAACCTGGAAGGCGCTGTCTTGTGAGGCGGGGATTGCCCAGTCCGTGGGAGTGGTCAAGCAGTGGCTAGTTGCCTGCTTGTCATGGAAGTTGCCAAGTGGGGATCCTGCTGTCTGAAAAACGGTCTCTCTAGACGTTCCCAGCTGACACGCCTAGACTCCTCACAACCCTGGGACAACCTAAGAGAAGAAGAGCCTCCCAAGAACAGTAGGCCAGAGGGCCAAAGAGCCACCACAGCATGTGCATACTGACCCCGTCCATCCTCCCACGAGGGGAGAAGAAAGATTCGTAAAGGTTCTCTCTGAGACCCTATAAGCCACCCCCTGGCCTCCAGGCTTCTCATGCTTCCTTCACCACAGGGAGCCCACATCTTCAGACAACAGAGGTTTTGTCAGAGGTCCCCACAGGAGCCACCCAAAGAAGTCCAGGCCTTCTTAGGCCTCTGATTCCATTGTCCCCTGCATCTTGGGGCACAGACCCTTGAGGCTGTTATCAGGGTATGAGATCCCAGAGGAAAACAATGCCTTCTGGAAAAGGGGAACCCCAACCCCATCCCAATTCTCCCCAAGCTATGCCCTCAGCATGGCCCAGCCCAGTAGGTCTGTTCTAGCTCAAGAGTAGGGACCTGGAGTGACCTGGGCCAATGCCTCCCCATTCCCTAACCACCCACATATACACTCTACAGGTTCCCCTCAAAGAAAGTGTCCTGACACCTAGAGAAGAAGGTGAGCCTGAGGGTGGGGAGGGGAGCTGAGGGCAGAGGATGGGTTGGTCAGTTTTTGTTTTGGGTTTTTTTTTTAAATTATCATATAATGTAGTTGCAAAGAAAATACTATTTTCTAGGAAATAAACACACTGCTGCCTGTCAGCATTCTCACAGAGGTACAGACTGCATCTCAAAAATCAGCCAAGCCCCTTTTGCTGGTTGAAATATCTCCATGTATCATAATGAGTATCTGGTTGAACCAGGTGAGGCCCAGGTCCAGCAGGGACTGGACAGCAGCCCAAAGAGGTCCTGAGGCGCTCTGTCAGTAGCCCCAGGAATCTGAATGGGGTTGGAGCAAGGGACAGGAACAGGGCCTTGGGAAGAACACCTAGAAGGGAAGGGCTGAGAAACAGTGCTGTTGGACTTTTGCAGGAAGAGGCCAGTGGTGGGCAAGACTAGGGCTTAGGACAGCTGATGTTCAAGTTCACGTGGTAGGCGGCATCCTCCTGCCACAGCCCAGACCTTTGGTGATGGCCTATAAGGTACAGACCAGAGTTCCTGTGTCCCAGGTGGAAGGGTGAGGAGAAGCACACACATGTTGAGAGTCCTTGGAAATACTGAGGTCTGTGAGGGTTTGTGTGTCACTAGGGCAACTTTATTATTATTAACACTTAAGTATTAAAGGAAAAAGGTGATCTTTGGAAGGCTAAAACTTGCAGACATCCAAGAGGTAGATACAAAATAAACAACAGCCTTTGCCTAAGAACCTGCCATGCAGAGCGCTTAACATACACTGTCTCACTCACTGGCATACCAGCCCTGCCAGGGAGGCATTATTATGCCCATTTGAGAGATGCAGAAACTGAGGATCTGAGAGACTATGTGTCCAGCCCAAGACTACAGTTCTGCTACTACTATTAAGTAGCAGAACCTAGACTCTTAACTGTTGTCATGCCCACTCCAGGGCAATATTCTTTCCCCTGCAGTACAGCACTGAGGGATAGAATGTTCAGGGGTTGCCAGATTGGAGCTGGACCACCTCCCTCGCCCATTACACACACACCCCCTTACATCTGAGGAGCCTGAGGTACCTAGAGAGGTGAAGCAGCTTGTCTGAAATCACACAGTTCCTCAGGAGTTGAACCAGGGCAGAATTCAGGACAATAAAAATGTTCTGAATTGCTGACCAGATGGAAACTCTGCACACCCCCGCCCCGCCCCCATCAATCTGTCATAGCCACCCTGATTCAGCTCCTGTAGTTGTAAGTTGTTTTCTCAGACCCCCTCCCCCAAACACACCTGTTGTTTTGGGGGTCTTGAGGCAGGGCCCTTTGAACAGGATGCTGCCCCCTCATTTCAGACCTTCCTCCCCTCACAGCCCATCGGATGGCTTGCACACCTCCCCCTCCCTGGCCTCAGCCCCCAAGGGACCCTGGGTCTCTGGTTTTTGTCAGGTCTGAGAGTTGGTGGGATTGATTTATGAGAGGAGCCCCTACCCCCACCTCACCCTGAGCCCTTGGTCCTCCTCCTCCTTCTCCTCCTCTTCCTCTTCCAACTCCTCCTCCCCTGCCTGACTGCCTGCTCAGTTTTCCACAGAGTCAGGATTTCCCTGGGGCTGGGGGCTCCAAGCCAAGAACAACACAAGACCGGTTCCCCCACCTCCCCTGCCCCTCCCATCCCCCTCCAGCTCACTCACCCGCCACAGCGGCCCCCTCAGTTGAGAGGAGGGGTTGAGAGGAGAGGTCCGGGCCCAGCCTGAGCCCCGAGGAGGGGCCAGAAGCCGAGGCCCCTCCCATCTTGAGCCATGGCTGCCCTCCGCTTCATTCCCTCAGAAGTGCCTTTCTTCCAGGGCTCGCGCTGGCGAGTGCACAGAGGACTCTGGAAGTCCACACGGGTGGGGGAAAACAGAATTCTGAGAGCTCGCTGAAGTGGGGTGGGGGTTGTCAAGAGCGGTGAACAAGTCTCGAGACCCACACTCTGAGGGAGCAGGTCAGTGAAGCCCGGGAAATCTACATTAGGGGCAAAGCAGAAAGGATCCTGGGAGCCTCTATTGGCTCTGCGAGAGGGACGAGCAGAGGCTTCTGAGACCCTCACACTGGAGGGGGTGGGGAGCAAGGGCTCCAGAGGGTTAGTGGGCTTAGGAAGGAGTGAGCAAGGGGGTCCCAATCAGTCTCTGGTTCCCTCTCCAGGGAGAAAGTAGGCAGGGGCAGTAAGTAGGACAGGGCAGAATCCTGCGTGATGGGGGCGGTGTCGAAGGAGCTGCAAGCCAGGCAGACCCCCGCGCGGAGACCCGGGTAGGGGAGGGTCAGGTCAGAAAGGGGGCGGGGTCGTGGCTTGTGTCTGAGTCCTCCTTCCATCCGGTCCTCAGACTTGATTTTGGCCCCTGAATCTAGTCCGGGAGGTATGGAAGTGAGGTGGCTGAGGAAACTTGCTTCCTCCCTGAGAGGGAGACCCAGACCACGGCAGGCGGACTGACAGAACTTCTCCTTAGAAAAGAGCTCCCTGGAGCTCCGCCTGCGGCCGGCGGGCCGGCCAGCGGGACAGGAAGCCGGCGCTAGAAGAGCAGCCTGCTGTCCCGCCCGGCCAGTCCCTCCCTCAGCCCGTCCCCTAGCCGCTCCACCCCACCCCCACCCCCATCAGACGAGGCCTACATGCCTCTCCAGGCGGTGTGAACCCGGGTGACCCCTCCAAGGTTGCCTCTTTCACACAGCAGCTCCTTTGATGAGTCTCTGAAGGCCTTGGTTTTCCTCCGCTGTGTGCCCCTGCCTGGCCCCGCAGTGAACCCCCCACTGCCCACCCCTCCCCTCCTTTCAGACCCAAGCCCAGCCCTGGCTCTGACTGAGGAGGAGAGGCATTCCCCAGGCTGCCCAGGTCAGCTCTGCTCTGTGACGGGCCCCTCCAGACACCTCCCCCGTTAGGACAAGGAATGAGAATTCATTTTTTAAGTCATACCTCAAAGCCTTAGCAATGGATTACTCCCCACCCGGCCCTGGGCCCTTGGCTGACCAAGTTCATCCTTGTACCCTCAGGCTCAGCACAGAGCAGGAGACTTAAAAGGGAAACAGAAATTATGAATGAATTCTTGGTAAGATGGAGAGACACAGGGGCTGCTTTGCTTCAGAAGTCGAACAGGAACAGGGACGGGGGAGGGATGTGGCAGGGTCACAGCTGGGCAGTCTTAGAGTGTCAATGATGGTCTAGCCCTGTTCCCTTCAGGAAGGCCAGATGGGTGCTTGGGGCACCTGACTTCTCCCTCCTGTGTCACAGAAGGCAGCCCAGGGGACTGCTGCCCCCTTCTACCTAAGGCAGTTCAGGCCTGGGCTCCTCTTGGAAACGCTCATCAAAGTCCTATCCAGCCCCTCCCCCCTCAGCCAGGGCCCAACCTCCTCCACTCCCCTTATAACCCCCCTTTCCCCCAGGCCAAATCTGGCCAATTTGTTCTGAGACAGGGTTCTGGTTTCATAGCCTCATTTGAATTATTTCCAAGCAGAATTCCTGCCTCCTCCTTTGCAAAGCTCTGCCTTCCCCTCCCCCAGCCTCCCTTCTGCCAGAGCTGCTGCCTCAGCCAAGGCTGGTGTGGAAGGAGAAGGGATGACCACTCCCCATAAACACTCGACATGATGCTGACATGCGAGAGGGGCCATCCCCCATCTCTGAGTGGGGCCTCCACACAGCTTGCACCCTAAAGGGGAAGCCCTGCAGGCTGGCCACTCCAAGCTCTGTCTCAGGCCTGAGAAGGTGGAATCTTGGGCTCCGCTGGCTGTCCCTTCTGGGGCCTCAGTGGCCCTACCTGTGCTGGGAGCAGATGATATTCTAGAGCTGAGCCAAGAGCCCAGCTCTTCCCACAGTAGAGTTTAGCTGTCAAACTGGAGCAAATCCCCATCGTGTGCTAGCCACCCTGCCCCCGCCCCTGAACACATTCTCTAGTTCCCAGGAGCAAGAAAATCTCTGTTTCAGATACCATAACAAGGGTACTGCCCCTGTGCACAGCCAGACTTGTGAAAAAATTACAGGCACCCCCCAGGGTGTTGATTCATGCTTCCTAACACTTCATACCAACAGAAAGATCGGGCAGAGGTCCCATTCTCCCACCTCCTTCCCAAGACTGTTCTGACCCAGAGTCAGATCCATGGGGTAGAAGGTCGCTTTCTCCAGAATCTACGCCCAGAAGGTAGGTAGAAAAAAATTTCTACCTTTGTTTACAAAAAAAGGAATATGGGGCCCAGAGATCTCTATAAATTGTCTAAGATCACACAGCAGAACCTGAGCCCTGGCCACCTGACCCACAGGCTGAGGTGTCCACCATCCCTACTGCTGCTGGGTCTGGGTCAGCCTGGAGGGCACTCTTCAGCTCAGGACGCTTGGTCCTCCTCCCTCTTAGGGGCTGCTGAGCAACCAACTGCAAACCCCTCTTCTGGGAGGTGATCATAGAGACAGGTCCAACAATCTGTTCTACAGTTCAGGTGTGTCATTTCCTGAGCCCTCGAGTTGGGGCTGGGGTTGGACATGGCCCTGTTAGCACTGATTCAGCATCTTCATTTTGCACACGCAGATCTAGGCTTCCAGCATAGAGCAGCATGTGAAGCCAGAAGCCCTGGGGCTGAGTCAAACAGAACATCACCCTAGTCTTCCCCATGCCACTAAAGCCTCTTGTCTCCTCTTCCAGACCCTGTGGGTTCCCTGCTTCAAGGCCCCCTCTCTAAGTTACCACTCTTGTCAAGTGTCAGATAACCTGGGTTCAAATACAGGCTATAACCTTCACTGGGCGTGTGACCTTGGGTAAGTCATTTCCCTGTGCCTCAATTTCCTTATCTGTAAAATGGAGTAATAACATCTTCCTCACAACCTCATAGAGTTCTGTGGAGATGAAGCTACATAAAAAGTCTAGGACAAGACAGTCATTCCCTTCTCCTCCCTTCATATATCCTGTGTTCAAGCCCAGTGTAAGCCGTTTAGGAAGAGAAAGTGCCTCCAGCAGAGTCAAAAGTCCCGCTACCCAGTATTAGAGATATCTGTGAAACCCGGGGCAAGATGCCTAGCCTCCGTTCTTCCACCTCGAAAACATATCAACATGGTGGAGATAAGATGAGACAAGAGAGGTAAAAATAAGAGCAGTGGGAAAGGGGAAAAGGTACAAATCCCAGTTTCTGGCTTCCTTTAACCCACATGCTCCACACACGCTCACACTGTGGAAGAAGGCCTGTTCCTGGGTCCGAGGAGGAACCCTCTCCTCTTTCCTCCCAGGGCCGTTCTTTGGTCTTCCTGATTCATCCTCCACAACAAGCAGCTCTTTTTTGTTTAGCATGGAGTGGGCTGTCCTGCCTGCTGGTGCCTGGCCCAAAGAGGGAGGGTCAGCGGCTGTGGCGAGGGTCTGGCCTCCTCAGAGGCTCCATAGCTAGGAACCCACTCCCACTTGAACCCTCACACCCTGGGAGAGTCCCAAGGACCTGATGCTGGGGGAACTGAAAGCAGGAGAAGGCTTCTCCAGGAGATTCCCATGAGGATGTGCTGGTCCCCAGATGCCATGGGGACCCTAGACCCATAACATGATCACTTACACTTCTTCCTTAACAGACACATAGCAGAGAGTCCTTAGCTTATCTCCTCCCAGAAAAAAAATGAAACCTATATACTTTATTGCTTCTTGAAAGCATTTGTTAATGGCCTACTACGTGCCACACACTTCCTTTGCATTCTCTTGTTTCATTTTTTTGGTAACCAGGTGATGCCATTAGTTCATTTTACAGCTAAGAAAACTCAGAAAAGTTAAGTGAATTGTCCAAAGCCACATAGCTCCCATGCAGTAGAGCTGAGGACTTATAATTGGATAACTTCAGAGATGGATCCTGTCTTCTAACTGAGCAAGGTCTCATTCCTTCCAGTCTGCCTGACTGCTACTTCCTAAAACCCCTTCTCTACCTGAGAATAGATATGGCTGCCCTGCCAGCCCCAGAGAACACCCCTCTCCCTCGACACTGTGCCCCTGACATCATCTATGATGCCTATTAGTTTCCCACTCTAATCACAGTCTTCCAACCCTGTAGCTGCTTGTGTCCTGGTGCTCCAGGGTTAGGCCTATTAAACAGACCACCCAGGGGACAGAGGGAGGAGTCCCCCCAGTCACCACTCACCTGATTCCTAGGCTGGTTGTTTGGAAGGTGGTTTCCCTGGACATCAGGGCAGGAGAGCAGGAAAGGAATCAGGATGGCTGGAATCTATTCCAGGATGTCTGTGTACTTGAGGGTGGGGAGGTGTTTAGGAACAAGCTTTGGTGCCTGGTTGTGGGTTTGTGGGGGGTAGGTAGGGCAGGACAGATTCTATATACCAATGTGGAAGAAATGGCCAAGAGAAGTCATAGATATATCTGGGGGAAAGGATAGAAACTATAATTTGTGGGTTTTCTTATTCTCTTTTACAGCCCTAAATATAGGAATTCATTTCTTTATCCAGCCAACTATCTAAACATCCACTCATCCATTCAACCATCCACTAACCCAATCATCCAGCTATCTAATTATCAGATCTAATTATCTAATTATCCGTCCTTTCATTTATCCTTTCATCCATATACCCATTGTTTTATTCATTCATCCACCCTACCATTCATCCATCTTTCTATCCACATCCATGTATCTACTCATTCATCCATTCACTCATTCATCTACTTAACTATCTTCTCATTTGTTTATGTGTAGCCACTCATTTCCATCCCTCCATCCATCCTTCTATCCACTCATCCATTCACCTATTCTTTCATCTCTTCACCTATTTATCCATCCATCCATCCATCTGTCCATGCATTCTCTCTTCTATACACCTACTTGCCTATTCTTTCATCCATCCTACTATTCATCCATCCATGTATCCATTCATCTATACATTCACCTACCTGTCATCCAGTTATTCAACTATAATCATTCATACATACATTCACTTGTCTGTCCCTTTATCCCTCTATCCATTCTGCCATTTACTTTTTCATCTACCTATTCATTCATTCATCCATCATTTATCCACTTGTCCATACATACATACATATTTTACTCCATCCATCAGTACATTTATCTATTAATTCGTTTATACAGAATTAAATTAAATAATCTAATAAAGTTCTAGCCTAGTACCTGGCACAGTAAGCATTCAGTAATGGTAATCATATTAGTTGATTTTATTCCAAGATTTTATTTGAGAAGCAGAATAGGGTGGGAGTAAAAAGCATCAACTCTGAATTCAAATCTTGGCTCCTCTGCTTACTATTTCAGTGACCTTGGACAAGTTACTTAACTTCTGTTAGCCAAGTTTTCCCGTATGTAAAATGGAAATGGCAAGAGTACATTTCCATTGAGAGTTGGAAATGTAGAGTTATCCTGAAGGTAGATGAATTACTAAA